ATATTCCTATTTCCTATCCACTACTCTTACAACAATCTGGACTAAAACATTGCGTATTTCTACTCCCTGTCCACTACTCTTACAGCAATCTGGACTAAAACACTGCATATTTCTATTTCCCGTTCACTACTCTTACAACAATCTGGACTAAAACATTGCATATTTATATTTCCCGTTCACTACTCTTACAACATTCTGAACTAAAACACTGCATATTTCTATTTCCTGTCCACTACTCTTACAACAATCTGGACTAAAACACTGCATATTTTTATTTCCCGTTCACTACTCTTACAACAATCTGGACTAAAACACTGCATATTTCTATTTCCTGTCCACTACTCTTACAACAATCTGGACTAAAACATTGCATATTTCTATTTCCTGTCCACTACTCTTACAACAATCTGGACTAAAACACTGTATGGTAATAAAGTTTTTTAAGGAATTTTCATTGCATTCCGTCATTCAGTGGCAACTTAAGTATTATAAAGCATTGGGCGAAAATCCCTCGTAGACACTGGATACAGCAGATACAGCTTGGTTGACACATTGTTTTACACACTTCTACACTGGATACAGCAGATACAGCGTGGTTGACACATTGTTTCACACAATTCTACACTGGATACAGAGTGATTGACACATTGATTACACACTTCTACACTGGATACAGCGGATACAGCGTGGTTGACACATTGTTTTACACACTTCTACACTGGATACAGCAGGTACAGCGTGGTTGACACATTGTTTTACACACTTTTACACTGGATACAGTGTGGTTGACACATTGATTACACACTTCTACACTGGATACAGCGTGGTTGACACATTGTTTCACACAATTCTACACTGTATACAGTGTGGTTGACACATTGTTTTACACAATTATACACTGGATACAATGTGGCCGACACATTGTTTTACACACTTCTTTACTTTTACTCATAATTTCTTAGAGCAGGGGGGGCGGGGGGGGTCATTAAATGAGTTTACCAATTAACGTGTGAAGAGTGTAATAGTATATATATAGGTCAAACCGTATGTTCCACAGAAACGAGAATTAAAGAACATTCTAGAAGTTGCAAGTTAAGGAAAATGGATTCAACCTTTGCATCCCACCTCATTGAAACTAAACACCAGTCTGATCTGGAAAAGAACTGCAAAAATTTACATATCTGTGAAAAAGGTAAAACTAGACAGTCTGGAAATTTAAAAAAAAAACAACTCCAGAAAGAGTTCCAAACGACCAAACCAGCTGAAGCTCATCCCCACTTGTCTGTAGGTGAATATCAAGGTCACTTCCGGTTCTTTGTCTAAACATATATATATAAACCCTGCTACAAAACATTCAGTTTGGACCTGATGATGCCTTCAATGGCGAAACCATGGTTGTAATAATTGTGAAATGTACAATTATCTTGTTTTCCCTCCCTCAATCTTGTAAGTTCTTAGTTGTTCTCTGAATTTAATGAATTACGTTACACCAATAAAGTTAATAAATTGAAGTTTTCATGGTATACCACATTCATTGGAAACGAAGTACTGGGTTTAACTAGTGTTAGATGTCAAACGAATTACTTGGTTGTCTCACCTGCTGGCGATTGTCCTTAGAATAAGGGAGAAGTGTCGACACATGAAACATTATCTCGTGCCCTTCATATACAGTGTGCACCGAGTATTTTCCAGTCATATCCCCTGGTGGATAAAATAAAACAGTTTAACTCTACATGGCATGAAACAATGTTGTCGTTTGGTGGATAAAATAAAACAGTTTAACTCTACATGGCATGAAACAATGTTCTCGTTTGGTGGATAAAATAAAACAATTTAACTCTACATGGCATGAAACAATGTTCTCGTTTGGTGGATAAAATAAAACAATTTAACTCTACAAGACATGAAACAATGTTCTCGTTTGGTGGATAAAATAAAACAGTTTAACGTGACATGGCATGAAACAATGTTATCCTGTGGTGGATATAATAAAACAGTTTAACGCTACATGACATGAAACAATGTTCTCGTGTGGTGGATAAAATAAAACATTTAACTCTTATTTTATCCACCAAACGAGAACATTGTTTCATGCCATGTACACAGTTTAACGCTACATGGCATGAAACAATGTTTTCGTGTTAAACAGGGTGTACAAACTTCAACGATGAATAAATGGCCACCCCAAGAACACAAATCGAGCATCTTCATGGCGTCATATACAACTACCCCCACGTATAACTACATGTATAACTTTCTAAATATCACAGAATTAAAAAAAACTGCTATACCACGAGCGAAAATATTCCAAGAATTAACTGTATTTTCATGAAATCGCATATTTGCACAACAGGAAGGCAGTCAAAATTAAGCAAAGCTGGATTACATATTAACCTACTAAATTTCTGAATTTTAAAGCCCCTCCATTTTGTTTCGTGTATATAGGACACAGGTGTTCGTGAGTTGCACTGTTGTCATGACATAGAGCATTGTCAACAGGAGGTCTCGGGGTGGAGTAACTGTGCCTTTTATTTTCTTTATTATTGGTAACAGAGTTTCAAAGTACTTCTGTTCAGAATTTGAACTGCTAAACATTTCGCGTTTATTTTTGACATAAACGTTGACTTGTTGTTCTCGAGAGTATCGTATCACGTGAACAGCCTAATGACATAAACGTTGACTTGTTGTTCTCGAGAGTATCGCGTATCACGTTAACAGCCTAATGACATAAACGGTGATTTGTTGCTTTATTTTCAGCTGATTTCTACTTCAGTCGTTGACAGTAAAATAAACACAGTATCACGTGAACAGCCTAATGACATAAACGTTGACTTGTTGTTCTCGAGAGTATGGTATCACGTTAACAGCCTAATGACATAAACGGTGATTTGTTGCTTTATTTTCAGCTGTGTTGTTCTCGAGAGTATCTATCACGTGAACAGCCTAAGATACTCTCGAGAACAACAAATCACCGTTTATGTCATTAGGCTGTTTACGTGATACGATACTCTCGAGAACAACAAATCACCGTTTATGTCATTAGGCTGTTTACGTGATACGATACTCTCGAGAACAACAAATCACCGTTTATGTCATTAGGCTG